GTTATGTACGTTCACGAGACGAGTTCACCACTTGTTTCGAGTCTCGTGTATTTGTATTTGAAAAGATTCTCTTTTTTTTAAACTGCGTTCTATTTTTTCGACGTCTACCTTTCCTTCATTTGCAGGTTGGTATTGGGTGGAGAAGGATGAAGAGGCACTTGTGACTCTTGAAAATGTGTGAATATGGGAAAAATTGTCTGACTAAATATGCACTTTTCGTTTTCAAGGAGATGTAGTGAGATGTGTTGAAATTAGTGAGGGGAGGTTTTTTGGATGATTGATGATTTTGTAGTAGACGGAGGAATTTATACCCAGACTTTTCAAACAAGATGATTTAAAATGGCGTCTGAAATAAATAGACAATATATACGTTATGTACGTTCACGAGACGAGTCCACCACTTGGTTCGAGTCTCGTGTATTTGTATTTGAAAAGATTCTCTTTTTTTTAAACTGCGTTCTTTTTTTTTCGACGTTTACCTTTCCCTCATTTGCAGGTTGGTATTGGGTGGAGAGGGATGAGAAGGCACTCGTGACTCTTGGAAACGTGTGAATATGGGGGAAATAGTCTGACTAAACATGCACTTTTCACGTTTTCAGGGCGATGTAGTGAGATGTGTTGAAATGATTGAAGGGAGGTTTTTTGTACCGGATGATGGATGATTTAGTAGCAGACGGATTAATTTATACCGACAATTTTCAGGCAAATCCTGCCGGACTTTCTGCGATTCTTCGGGTTATATATATATTCACGAGACGAGTCCACCACTTCTTTCGGACCTCGTGTCCTTGTGCTTAAAAACATTCTCTTTTTTAAAACTACGCCCTTCTCCTTTTCGACGTCTACCTTTCCCCTATTTCCAGGTTGGTATTGGGTGGAGAGGGATGAGAAGAAGGCATTTGTGACTCTCGGAAACGTGTGAATATGGGGGAAATTGTAGTGAGATGTAGTGAGATATATTGAAATTATTTAGGGGAAGTATTTTGTACGGAATGATTGATGATTTAGTAGTGAATTGATGCATGACAGATTAATTTATGCCCAAAATTTTCACACAAGGAATAAGGATGCACTTGTGCTATCCAAATCTGCGAATACGGGAAAAATTGTCTGACTGAATATGCAATTATGATGTTTGCATAAAAATGTAGAGAGAAATAGTTGAAAGAAGATTTTACGTATTGAATCATTGATGATTTAGCAGTGAATTTATGCTCAAAATATTCACACAAGGCCTGACCTTCCGAAATTCTGCGGGTTATGTTCATTTACAAGACGAGTCCACCACTTGTTTCGAGTCTCGCGTACTTGCACTTACAACCATTCTTTATTTTTAACTATTCCCCTCTTCTCCTTTTCAACGTCTGCCTTTCCCCTATTTGCAGGTCGGTATTAGGTGGAGAGGGACATGGGTGGTGCACTTGTTATTCTAGGAAATGTGCAAATATGGAGGAAATTAAGTAAACATGGAATTTTCACTTTTCCAGGGAAATGCAGTAAGAAATATTGAAATACTTTAGGAAAGGTTTGTTGCACTGAATCATTGATGAATTAGTAGTGAATTTATACCGAAAATTTTCAAACAACACCATTTAAATTCCCGTCTCCACCAAATTGACGCTTTCCGTCTCACTTTCCAACTATTTCATATGCAAGTTTTGTCCCCACTGTAATTATTCAGTGGAAATATAATATTCTGGTATGACTAATTGCCGAATTAATTGAAAACGTTTGGGCAATTGATCACAACTGGTGTCCCGTAATTGCGATGTATTCCTCCCGCTATTTAACGTCATTAAATCAAAGAGACGTTATAAAATGAGAGGTTTCATCGTTGATTGTTTCAATGAGCGACTTTACATGTATAGTTCACTCGCTTCGTTAACAATGTACTCCACCTCGTGAGTAGGTGGTCTCCCTCTCCAAGGGGATAAAGAGGATCAAAGGCTTCTCATTATAAAATATCCGGAAATCAACGCCAACGATTTGCCAGAGGGTTTCGGTAATGTGAGTTGATTACAGGTCAAGTTGCAATGTTGTTCGTCAAAGTGTAAGGTTTTAAGTACAAGGACTGGTGAAATTGAGTTTAGATAACTTACGTTTTCCTCGACGGTCTTCTTGATCTTCACACTCGCCTCGACGACAGTTTTTCCGGCTTTGTTGACAGCACTGTATAGAAAGCCACCGAAGCTCTTAGCACCAGCCAATGCTTTCGTCGAAACTGTAAGAGAGGTAACAATGAGGAAAAATTAAATTTAAGAGCAATGCCGCAAACGTTGATATTAAATTTTGTGTGGACTTCTTATTGAAAGAAACAATAGAGCGAATGTCATAAAGTAAATTTCTTGAGCCAAATTTATCATCTCTTGAGGAGAAATACGAAGTCCGTGACGAAAACATGAACACTTTACGATAAAATGAGAATTTGTTAGGAAGAAAACCTGAAAATACGAAACCTTCGAGCTAATGAATCATTAATTTGGGACTTTTGCAGTGAATGTAGAGAGAATTCATGGAAGAGGAAGCCTTCAGGCATTCCTCAAATATGACGAAAGGAAGAAATAATTTCATCTCCTTATTTCAGACTTTCGTTATCGTTTGAAGAATATTATTTTACTTCGAAAAGAAGAGAAATGGATTTTCTAAAAATCTATTATAAAGTGATTCAATATAAAGCCAAGTTTATCATCTGTTGAAGATAAACACAAATTCTGTGACTTAAACATGAGCAATTCACGATAAAGTGAGAATTTCTTGGATCGAGGAATCATTTCTTTGTATCAGGAGTTGAAAAAAAGACTGCAAGTTCTGAAAATTCCGATCCAATGGATCATAAATCAGAGCTTTTTTTGTATTGGATGAATAAAGAATTCAGGCAAAAGGAAACCTCCAGACATTTCATAAAGATGACAAAAGGAAAAAGTAACTTCATCTCTTTATTTCAGACTTTCTTTATCGTTTGAAGAATATTATTTTATTTCGAAAAGAAAAGAGATGAATTTTCGAAAAATCTATCGTGAACTGATCGAATATATAGTCAACTTTATCATTTTTTCGGAACAAACGCGAATTCTGTAACTTGAACAGGTTCTTTGTGTTCAAAGATTAGAAAATGAGTAAAAATACCAAAAATTTCGATCCAGCGAATCATTACTCAGGTTTTTTTGTATCGACCACATAAAATTTCTGAAATATGACAAAGGAAAAGGAAGGAATAACATCATTTCCTTATTTCAGACTTCCCTTGCCCTTAGAAAAAAATATCATCTCATTTCGGAAAGAAAATAAATTGTTTTCCTAAAAATGAAGTGAATGATTTATGAATTAACGAATATACATGTCATTTTCTCATTTTAAGGAATCATTTTGGTGATTATATGTTTTTTCATTCAGTGTAGGCTGAGGGCTATAAAATCGGGGATGTGTTCACAGCCCTGGCTGTCTTCTCCCAGCTTTCTTTTGAGATTTTCTCAGCATGGGGTCGAGTCAGGATTATCCTTACTGACCTAGAATCACATGTTCTTTCACCAACTTTGGTATCGTCAGGAGCTTCTGGCTTTCTCCAATTTCGTAAATTTTGTCACAAAAATGGAGAAATGAATTTTACAAGAAATCCAGGTTTGATTTCTCATCACCAGGGTCGATTTATCGGTGCTGAATAGATTATGGTATTCTTGGTGAGCATTCTAGATGTAGATGAGTGAATTTCTATGTGGAAGGAAATCATCCTTCTGACCATAATTTTTTTCCTTCATTTTGTAAGTTTTACAATAAAATGAATGCTTTTATCAACTCAATTTATCACTACGGAGATGGTCAGCAAATTAATTACGAAATAAAGTTTAGTTTCAGAATAAATTATGTCATCAGAATAAATGATATCATCACGGAAAGATTCTTATTCTTTGATTTTCTTCAACTGCGCAATTCCCTACACCTATCTAAGTTTTCTCATCACATCAAAGAGTTCTTCGTCTCAAATCTATATAACTTGGCAAATTTTAGGGCTCAATATCCACCGAACATCTATTAACATTATTTCCAGTGAATTCAGAATATCAAAGTTTTATCACCTCGCAGTATTTTCCGTGCTCCATTCTCCCGGAACCATGTAACTGTCTCAGAAGAACTTTCCAAGGGCCACAAAGGACTCCCTGTGTGTCCGATAGTTCGTAATAACATGCTTGCCAGGACTATGGATAACTGGAGAAGGTAGACGCGAGAAATAAGACTACGAAATTCCCAAAACCTGGTTAATTTAGTTGTCTGAAATTCTACGCCATCGATGAACCCCAACAGTTTGCGACGCAGCAAGCGAACTCTTTTGATCAATAACAAGAGTCCTGTGTTTTCGGGCCAAGGATGTGACAAAACTGTTTATCTTGAAGGGAAAGTTTGGCTGGAGATGCTGGCGCCTTCGTCAGATGAACAATTAACAAGATGCAATTGCCTCATGGAAATTTTTAGGGAGAAGATAAACAGGATGAGGAAATCCCTGAAGATCCGGAGCAATTAGATAATTTTCTTCATAAAACCATTCTATTTTAATGAGAGTGAAGACGTGTTGCTTTTTGAAAAGAATTATTTCTTTTTTATCACCGGCTACTTTATCTCTGCTGGAAACTTCTTCTTCTCACATCTTCAAAGCCAAATAATATATTTTCAGTGATAAAATCTCACTCCCCTTCTAGTTAATGCGATATACTTTGAAGATTAGATAGAAGGCAGATTGGACACTTTTCTCTTCCCTCCCGCCCCAGAAACTATAACCGCCCCACTATGTTAACCACTATGATAACCAGGCGGATTAACGTGAAAGAAAAGCTGAAGATTCTGATGAGATAATTTGCTTCATAAAACAGATTTATCTTCATAAAAGTGAGAACGTATTGCTTCTTGAAAACAATAATAATTTATATTTCTTTATGACTAACTATTGTATCTCTTTGCTGCCAACTTCTTCTTTTCACATCTTCAAAGCCAAAAAATACTTTTTCAACGATAAAATCTTGCTCTTCACCCTCAAATGAATCAATGCTATCCACCTTTGAAGATTAAAAAGAAGCCAAAGCAGGATCGAACACTTCTTTCTTCCCTCCTGCCCTCAATAACTATAGCCACCCCACCATGTTTCCCTGATTTTCCAACCCCGAGTGACAGCATAGCAGTGTAGGTGTTTGGTATTGATCGTGGATGGACCATCCCCCCCTCCCCACACGACACTGAAAGACTAGCTCGTCGACTGAATTCGTTTCAATAGCGGACTCTCATGAGAGTCTCCTCGATTCCTTCCCCAAGGCTAAGAGTATTGAGAGGGCGATTGGGACAACCGATATCCGCTGGTGATATCAGCCATCTGAGTCAGGAGGTTGTATCAACAAAATCATGGCTGATCACCTGGGGAATTTTGGAGAATAGAGAGAGAGAAAATCGTAAAATAGAGAGGAAATTACGTGTGAAATATTTGTCTAGCCTCTTTTCCTTCTTCTTCCTGGCTCGAACTGTCAGAATCCGGTGGCATTTGGGGCAAGCCACTAGAGCAAGAGTATCGATTCTTTCTTTTTTACCCCAGCACTTTGGAGATTTACGAGGATTTTCTACCGAACATCGTAACCCCGTTTTTTAACATTCATTTTTAATTATTTTTTATAGGAAGGAGAGAACATGTGTATAACATGGTTAAACATTTCTGGGTGAAAGTTTCTATGGGAGATTATTAGATTTTCAAGTGGTGAGACATTTTTGATGGACCTGGGAAGAATGGATTTTCCATTTAGAATTGTTTGGGGAGTAGGAAGTATTTTGGCCCCGATGATGTTTGTTGCAAATTGAGGACCAAACAGCTACACGGAGAGAAATATTCAATAAAAATTATATGTATCTTTTCGGTAATTCCGGAGCGCAATGTGGTTATAGGAAATTTTACGAAACTGTCACGTAATTTTTACCTAAAATCACGGAATTTGTGAAAAATAACGATACCGTCACTTAAATTTTCTGAGGCGATTCCGTAATCGGTGAGCGAACTGTAAGTTCCGTAGTTTTTACTGAACAATTCTCTCCATGAACATTTTCGGTACGAAAAATTGGGATGAATAGTTCAACAAAATTGTTATTGTTTGTCGTTTCAGCTATTAAAAACTGAAATACAAGAAACGAATTTTTTAATAGAATCGCAATTACATTTCGAAAGTATTTGAATTCGATTTACGGGAGAAAAATTCATGAAATTTCTAATATCACTGAAAATTCTAGAATACATTTGCCGAAATTTTCTCGATTTTTATGAGATGATTGAACTTAAATTTAGTTTCCATTGATTTTCTGAATAAACTATTACCAAATTTTTTACATCAGATTAGATTTTTCGGATAATCCATCACTGCCAGAGGATGTAAGTGTGGTTGATCTGATATAATTCCATCCATAAGGAGCATCGATGGTTAAGGGGTATAATTCTCGCCTGCCACGCGGGAGTCCCGGGTTCGATTCCCGGTCGATGCAATCTTTTTTTTTTTTTTAATTAAAATTTCATCTAGAAAATCTCGTGACATTTAAACAGAATCCCTTTAGAGAATAAACAAAACGTCGCGATTTGAGAAAAAAATTACCATTGCTTCTCATTTTGCAAGCTCGCGTGAAAGCATAACCTATTCAGGGAAAAAAAAATTTTTTTTTGAAAATTATCAAAGTGATGAGACTCGTAACCCATTGAATTGTAACAAGTATAATAATGCAACAAACATTGGTGTTTATTGCATTATTATATTATTATTCCACTGCTACTAATACACTGATAGAACGGATTAGTTATTGTTACCGAATGGATTTTGGTTGGAGGTTAGGGTCTATTCGGTCCCACCAAATGTTCATTCGTTAATAGTTAACGAATGTATATTTGAGGAGCCTTGTTTGACTTGACTTTCGCCATTCAAGGGAACCATTCGTTAACTATTAAAGAATATTCATTTGGTCATATTCAACTCTACCATTCGTTAATGGTTAACGAATCTCGTTTGGAATAAATGAATCATTCTGTCAGTGTATAATAGTTGTGTTAGTGCACTGAACGTCTCATCAAATCTCCTGCTGTCTTAAATATAATATTTACAACCCATATAAAGTTCTGGGAACACTTCGTAAAGTGTCGCCGCAGTGATCCTAAATTTGCACAGGTCCAAGTCGTGAACCCTGGGTAATACTAAGTGCTGACAGGGCTCGACATAAATGCCTTACTATGCGCTCTTGTATTCAAGTTTAAATACCTTAATAATTTAATTTTTTGGGCGGGTGCTGAACGGGAAGACCCGTACATCTACACTGTTAGAAAATTACTCGTGAAATTTCAAGTGAAAAAGCTTGAAATTTTGAGCAACGCCAAAGTTACATGAAATTTCTGTATATTTCTTCATTGACGAGTCAGTTAATTTTTTGAATATTCAAGTAATTCTCGATTTTCAGGTCCATACGGGCCTGAAAAACCTTGAAAATTTTGAAAATTCAGGCAACAACTTTTCTGACCTCTCAATCTATTGAAAATTGAATTGTATATGATGTTCAATTTTCACAATGAGTCTGAAAATGAAAATTTAAACTTTCATTGAAAAATCAATGATTGTTTAACACGAAAAATCCAATTTTCTGGAATTTTCAAGATGAATGAGAAATTTAATAAATACTTTCATTTGAAATTAAATTGAACCTCACATCGAAAATTCAGATGACGCTTTGACTGAAATTTCAAGAAATTTCTAACAGTGTACGTGAGCAGCCATAATATTATATGAGTTGTCTCAAAGAGGTTCACATACATTATCGGTGACTTCAGCACATTGTGTTCCGACAATATATTAATTTTGAAGTGATAGTCCCAATAGTTCAGAAAAAAATGGTCGTAAAGTACACAAATACCTAAACAATAGAATTTGTATTGTACAATTCAATTTGTATTGATTCTGCAGATTTTTAATTGAAATTGATATGAATGGGAATACGCTAACTTATCCTGTATCTGTCATTATTTATTGGAGGTGAATAAACATATCTGCAAAATATTAAATTATAACAACTTCTACCTGTACCAGAAAAGTAACATGTTGCTTCAAACAACAAAAACTCCGCCTGAGCCTGATTCAAACAATCTTTTGCATAAACTCCCTATCGTCTATTTATCAACTGTCAAAGAGAATATTCCTCTTGCTCTAAGCGACATAAATCCCCAAGCACTCCTCCTCCCTATCCAACAAATACTCCAAAATCCCATGAAAATTTGACTCCTCTGTCCAGTAGCACTTCACCTCCCCAACCCCTCGAATTGCGAGAATACAAAGAGAATTCGTTCGTGGAAATAAAACGAAATACCTAGGGAGTCCTCCGAGAAATCCCAGAATAACGTAACACAAGAATAAAACAATTTTTATAGACTCGGTGACGCTGCATGATAGCAGAATGAAGAGTAATGGTTTCACCAGCAGTATCTCACCAAATTCCTGGGAAATCTCTCCATTACATTCATCCATAATTTCAAGCATTACCCAAGCAAATCCTCATGTTTATGTTACGAAACTCCGACGAGTTTTCCTCATAAATTCCGTTGCATGCTAGTTCACGTGAACAATGATGAATCTCGGTGTGAATGTAGATCGTATGCTTCGATTGACACATTAAGGGAATAATGGAGAGTTGAGGTCAATAATCCAGATGACCACAGAGTTTATAGTTGAGAGAAGCCACACGTTCATAATAGTGATTATTGATATATTAGACACTCACACAAGCATGTGGATTCTCATCCTGTTGGTGAACTGTTCCTATACCAGCAATTTATAGTAATTGTGAGATCAATATGCCAACGTACCCAGATCAGAAACTCCCTCCCTTATTATCGAATAGCTTATTGTAGTGTTCACTTGCGGCTCCGCTGATTAACCGCAATAATTCCTCTCACCAAACATCACAAATTCGAAATTCATGGGTTGGTCCGCTCTAAACGATCGTTTATCCACTTAAATCCATAACTTTGATATCGTTAAAAATACAAGTGCCGCAATAAATTGAGGTCTCTTCGAACAGCTTCGTAAAGGAACATAGGAATGTAGATCCTATGCTTCGATTGACCCATTGAGGGAATAATGAAGAGTTGAGGTCAATAATCCAGTCGATCACAGAGTTTATGGTTGAGAGAACCCACATGTTCATAACAGTGAATATGAATGTATTTAACACCTACATAACATGTGAATTCTCATCTTGTTGGTGAACTGTTCCTATACCAGCAATTTATAGTAATTGTAAGATCAATATGCCAGCGCATCCAGATCAGAAACTCCCTCCCTTATTATCGAATAGCTTATTGTAGTGTTCACTTGCGGCTCCGCTGATTAACCGCCAGAGTTTATGGTTGAGAGAACCCACATATTCATAACAGTGAATATGAATGTATTGAACACCTACATAACATATGAATTCTCATCTTGTTGGTGAACTGTTCCTATACCAGCAATTTATAGTAATTGTAAGATCAATATGCCAGCGTATCCAGATCAGAAACTCCCTCCCTTATTATCGAATAGCTTATTGTAGTGTTCACTTGCGGCTCCGCTGATTAACCGCAATAATTCCTCTCACAAAACATCACAAATTCGAAATTCATGGGTTGGTCCTCTCTAAACGATCGTTTATCCACTTAAATCCATAACTTTGATATCGTTAAAAATACAAGTGCCGCAGTAAATTGAAGTCTCTCGAGCAGCTTCGAAAAGGGAGGTAAGAGACAGCATATCGAATTTGAGAGGAGGAATCGAATCACGTAGGAAGCTGCACGTGAGATTGCACATCCATGTTGTTCACGTACGCCGGGAAAAAGTAATAATAAAAGTCGCTCAAGTGTTAACCCCAGAGCTCTTCATTCTAAAGAAAACATCTTTTTCTTTATTAGAGATTGCGTCAAAAATTGAATTAGCTGTTTCTGAAATTGATCGTTGGACTTAAGTTCATCGGAATAATCTAATGTTCGTAGTCCCGAACATGTCTGATATTCTACGGTTAATAATACTTTTTGAAGTGAGACTAGAATTTGAATATAGAGAAAGCATCTTCTATTTCGCTAACGATTACGTGAAAAATCGAATTACCTATTCCACAAATTCATAATTGGACTCAGGCTCATCAAAATAATCTAATGTTCTTCCCACATTTTCTTATTGCGTCTGATATTATACGCCTGATAATGCTCTTTCAATTGAATTCTCCTATGACATTCCCTAGATTTTCAGTTCTATTCATCGAATTACCATTGACACGACGGTATAATTACTTCAAAATCCAGTGAAATCTCTCAAATATGCTGAGTTCGCAATAAAACGTATGCATGGATGAATATCTCCGCCCCCCAGTGAATTCACCAACAAAGGCCACAAAGCCAAGATAATAGAATATGATAGCCACAAATAACTCTAGCAACTCACCAGCCCCAAACGCTTGCTGTCCGTCTTTGTCCTCCGTTGGTGTACCCTCGAGACTAGCTGGACCGCTGTCAGCACCGCCAGTCGCACTGTTATATTCGAAATGGAGAAAGGAAAGAAAAAAAAACATGAGTACAAACGGGAATACCACAGCCAATGGAATGAGAATATTCAATGACGAATATGCGAGACTAGGATTGTTCAAACTTGTGGTAGCATTTCTGACCACCAGCGGTGTAGTTTTTACAGAATCCACATACCCTGCAACCCACCTGCTTGCGTCATCGTCTTTTACGTTATCAGGCGATGAGCCCTGTACGCTTTCCCGCGATGTTTGACTCTCGTTTGCCTCAGCCGGTGTTTGTCCAACTTCACCACCCTCTTCAGCACCAGTACGGCCACTTAGACCGGGTATTCCACCACTAAGCCAACCGGTCATTTGGGATTTAACACCGGCGAGCATCTCCAATTTACTGCCCTTTGTTGGGCTGAAAATAAATTAATCGTTATGTATTTCATTTCCATTGAAGTTGATGATAATTCTAGCATGCTTATAATCTAGATATATTGAAGGTGAAGATTTGCTCGGGTTTCTGCCTAGGCTACGATTTTTGCAGGAAAAAATATTTCCGAAAGGAAGAACAGAAAGGAGCTTCTAGTTTTCAGTAAAATGTCGGAATTCCAGAAATGATTAGAAATTAGATGAAATAGTTATAGTTTAATTCAGCAGCGAAGTGGTAAAACGGTTTAAGGCGACATCTCCCAGTGGAGTTTTTAAGGAATATTTCCGAATCTAAGGGAGATAGCGAAATTCTCGTAATTACATTTGTTGTAGCCCTCAGTCGGCTCTACAAAAAGGTCATAATAAAAATTTCGCTGTCTCCCTTAGATTCCGAGATATTCATTGAAAACAGGTCAATAGTCAAAATTGACTTATACCGTTTTACCATTTCGCTACTGAATTGCTGTTGAACTGAACCCGATTTTTGATCTTTTTAACCCTCTTCCGTCAAAGTCGGAATGCGTTACTGTTTCGGGATGGAGTGGGGACGGCCAGCCCTTACGCAAGCGCCTAGAGTGGGGGAAACACTTCCCACGGAAGAGGGGTAATAAATCGTGATTCTTAATTTGAAGACTTGTTCTGTTCTGGAATTAATCTGTTCAACTTTTAATTAGTTTTTAAAATACAATCAATGTTGAAACATTTTTCACTTCAAATAAGTAAATTTTAAAGATTTTGCTTCTGAAATTGAGTGACCAATTTGATAAAATCAGTAATTTGTCCTGAAAACTAGAAACTTTTCTTCTCTGAATATTATTCTTCTCTTTATTTATTATTATTTTGAGAATAACATTCACAATTCGAAAATGTTTTCTCCACTGCATTGATAAAGAAAGCATGTGTTATGAGAATAAATAAAACAGTGACTGTCTAATGAATTCTCAGGTGACTCATAATTGCATGATGTATATGCACTAAGAAACTTTATATTTCTCAATTCGTGTGGTGATAAAATTATTCTCCAAGCATGGCAAGTGCCAGCTAGAAATAAATTGTAATCATGTAATCAATCCTAGAATAACAAAATAAAATAGCTCAATGAGAGAGAGGATTAAAAAATGCTCCATAAATATTCGTATTACCTGAGATGTCAGTAGGTGATAAAAAAAAATAAGTCACGTGTGAGTGTTATTTCTTTCTATTCCCCCTGTCACGCTACACATTTCTGCATACGGAATACCATTGGCAGCTCGGCAATTTACAGAATGGAATATGTAGTATAACCAGTGTGGATAGTTTTATCGCGTACGTATAAAGGGCCTCATGCATACTGCATTACAAATAGGGAGGGCTTCTTGGTGGAATCGCCTGAGCCCTGGAATACGTTATTCCGGGTAAAGGGATTTTTTCTACTTTTGTACAAATCCATTTTCCATCAGGATTTATGCCAATATCCGGGAAAATTTCACTCCCTTCTGGGGAGGTTTTTTTTTCTCTCACCCAGGAGGTGTAATTTCTGAATATTATTACGATAAGTGGAGAGTGAAATAGAGCTTTTCACGCTGAGAGAAAAAATGAGCTCTGGTGAAAAACTATATGTTCCACCTGAGAATATTTGATGGAGTGGAACAGATTTACTTGAGGGAAATTAACCAGCTTGATAGAAGGAAATTTAATATCTTTCAGAAAAAGTGAATTTTCGTGGTGATTATCAGAAATATTCATAAAATAATTGGAAGTTTAAACCGTAGAAAGAATACATTGATGAGAGAAGAATCTTTTTTCCCCAAAAATTGGCCCCTCGAAATTATTTAGGTTTGTCAATAACAGTTTTCGACAAGAAATATATCTTTAAGGATATCCAAGTACTTTGACTATTTTTTTTTCCAGTGAAATGGTTTTCTACTTTCATTTGAGCCCCAGTTGACCTTACGTTTCCAAACAATTTACAATGATTTTATTATTTAAACTTTACAGGCCTGAATTTGAATCTCGATATTTAATTGTTAGAACCCATTTTAAAAATGTGAAAAAGTTAGAAAATTTAGTTCTGTAGGAAGATTGACGAAATAATTAAAAAATTGCAATTTTTGGGAATTACGAGCAAAAATATAAGATTTCCGAAAATTTAAACAATCCGAATTATCCATTTATAAACGACGAATGTTTAAAAAAATAATAATTCTGTGCAAAATGTAACTTGAATGATACTGAATATTCATGAATATTGATGATTAAAAAATGCTGAATCTATAGTGCAGTCTGCACCAAACTGTAAAATATATTTTGACTATTCTATTTTTTTTTCTACAGTGTGAAATGCTTTTCTACATTTGTAGTCAAACATCAAAGCTTTCATTTGAGCCCCATTTGACCCTAAATTTCCGGACATTTTACAATGATTTTATTATTTAAACTTCACAGGTCTGATTTGCGTCTCGATATTTAATCGTTTTACCGTATTTTAAAAATCTAAAGAAAATTAGAAAGTTTATTTTTGTACGAAAATATCGATATTTTGTAGGAAGATATAATTGCAGGCCTGAATTTGAATCTCGATATTTAACCGTTAGAACCCATTTTAAAAATCGGAAAAAAATTCATTTCTGTAGGAAGATTGACGAAATAATTGAAAAATTGCAATTTTTTAAAATTACGAGCAAAAAAATTAGCTTCCCGAGAGTTTAAACAATTTACATTATTCATTTATAAACGACGAATGTTGAAAAAAATAATAATTCTGTGCAAAATGTACTTTGAATGACGCTTGAATTGACAAATTTGATGATTAAAAAATGCTGAATTTATAGTGTGGTCTGTACCAAACTGTAAAAGACACTTGGATATCTTTAAATAATATATCATACCGGCTGTATTGCACGTACAACCGAGTTGAGGCTGTCAACGCACTGCTGACGATCGTCTGCAGCATTTCCAGTCCCTCACGCTATTTAATAGCCCAACGATATACCCGGTCTCCTAAAATCCCATCACCACTTCACAACTTTGAGATTTAGCTCTCCCGGAGAGTCATCTCACTTGAATTAATCTCGTATTCTATTTCAAGAGAACTTTTTCCCCTCTTTAATGGAAAATAATTTTCCGCTGATGGCGACACCGAGTTATACCACTGGTCCATCAAACTAAAGTTATATTCAACCCCACTATTTTCGATTTTGACTTTTTAATGCAGCCGCTGACTACAAAGTTATTCCAGAATAAATTTACCCAACCGACGAGGCATACGCGAACCCCAGGGGCTTCAATCCCCATCTTCATTCCCTCACAGTATTAAAGTTGCTGCTCGACCTGCCCTGATGAGAAGATATTTCAGTACTATCACTCGTAATTAGTGGTTTGTTAGAAAAAACAGAGGAATCTTGGGAGCATAAGTACTTTTTGCGGAATGAAATGTCGACTCTAAAGTTGATTACATGGAGAAATTACGCGTTTTCACCCTGGGGAAATACCAGTGGCGACTGTTGAAAATTTCTGTCTGAATCTCCCGATGAGAATTCCTCAAAATGCAAAGAGAGTTTAAATTTTTAGGCTTTCGTTGTTAATCACACTTTTGCAAATTCTTCTGGGGATTTCAAGTGAAAAAAAAATATTTTCAATAATTGCAAATATGTTCAACTCTTCACATATTTTTTTAATTATAAAGGAAAACTTTCATGAGAAATCTTCAATTTCATGAAAGGTTCAACTGTAAATTGACTCCAAGATGACAATAATGGAATTTTATAAGTAATTATTACTCAAATTTGAAGAATTTTCTAACGGTGTAGACTAACATTTTTCGTGGAATATAGAATTGTGCAAGACGATGTCATGAAATGACTGATAAGGTAGGGAAGTTGATAGAAAAGGCGATATTGAGGCAATAGAAAATTCTTCGACGATTCCATAACCTAACACGACATTTTGATGCATAAAATTGACTATTGACAGCTTCGACAACTTATATTTGTCATTTTTCCATAAAACTACAGACCTCTACTAGGATATTCTTAACCAGTGTGCATTTTTTCCTCTAAATCCACATGATTTCACTCCAATAGAAAAAATGACGAGACGACTTAACTTTTTTTGAAAAGTGCAAAAATGCGAAAAGTGAGTTATTTTTGTATTTGAATGAATGAAACTCTAGTTTTCGTTGACTAGAATATTATAAATAAGAAAAATAATTAGAATGATTGAAACGTTTTCTAATAAAAAAAAATATTGCTCTTGATGCACAAAATGAACAAATCCCTCTTCACAATCACTTTCAAAAGAGCATCTCTCCAATCGAATGAATAAAGTTCCATTTTACTGACTGGATTTGTCTAAATAACAGGTGCAGTGGAGATAATTATAGACAAATGAGAGGTACCTCAGTAATTAAAGGGCCAGAGCCTTAATTAATCTTCTTCTAACAAAAAATTCTAGTTAACTTCCTGAAATTTTCCAAATAACCGGAGCAATCAGGATGATTATAGCCGATGAGGAGTGCATGGCTAATTAGAGACCAGTGTTCATTAGAAAATTCTGCTGAAAACGTCAAACAGTGAAATAGATATCTTCATTTGAATTGGTGAAATTCTAGTTGTCGAGAGCCAGGATTTTTTTAATAAACAGAAAAATTAGGATAATTTTACATGAATGAGAAACTCATTTACTCGAAGTTGAATATTTTCTTAATTAAAAAATATGACTAAATATGAGACTTTAATCGAATGAATAAAATAACAGCAAACTACAGGAAATTTTCTGAATAACAGGGACAATTAGGATAATTATAGTCTGATGAAGAGTGTATAGTTAACTAGAGACCATTCTTCATTAGAAATTCATTTTGAAAACGCCCCAAAAAAGTGCAATAGATATCTTAATTTCAATTGATAAAATTCTAGTTGTCGAGAATGCCAGAATTTTTTTAATAAAAAGAAGAATCAGAATAATTCTGAACGAATGAGGAACTCATTTGCTCGAATTTGAAGAATAATATTTTTCCTAAAAAAAAAAATTAATAAATATGACACTTTGATCGAATGAACAAAATTTCAGGAATTTTCCTGAAATTTTCTAAATAACAGTAACAGTCAGGATAATTATGGCTTGATGTGAGGTGCATGGTTAAGCAGAGACCAGTTTCAACAATGGAAAATGAGTAATCGGACTTACTCGGGTGCAACGGCTCGTGCCATTGGTGGCAAGAAGCCGGCACTATTCGCCTCCCCTCAAGATCGATATAATGAGATATACCAATGCACATGACAATGTTAATGATGCACTCATCACCGTTTAATCGTTACTCTTCAATTCCCCATCTCCAAGGAATTCCACCAAAAAAATTGAAGCCAAAAAAAAATTGCAGTGAGTGCCTCAAAAATACTTGGCCACCCTTAGAATCCCCCAAATCGAAAGAGAGAGCATGATGAATTGATCCTCGATCCTCCATTCTGCCCAAATCTCCAAGGAATTCCACCAAAAAATTGAAGCCAAGAAAAATTACAGCCTGATAATTAATGCAGGGGATTGTTAAGGGTTCAAGAGCCAAAAAATCATCTTTATAAATTTTTTTCAAATACAAATGACTGTATATGACTCAAAAATCATTGGCCACCCTAGAATTGCAGCTTGAGAATCAATCCAGGGGGTTTTTAAGGGTACAAGAGTCAAAAAATCATCTTTACAAATTTTTTAAAAATACAAATGACTGTAAATGACTCAAAAATTATTGGGCATCCCTAGGGTTGCAGCCTGAGAATCAATCCAGGGGATTTTTAAGAGCTTAAGAGTCACAAAATCATCTTTACAAATTTTTAAAAAATACAAATGACTGTACATGACTCAAGAATCGTTGGACATCCCTAGAATCGCAGCCTGAGAGTCAATCCAGGGAATTTTTAAGAGCTCAAGCGTCACAAAATCATCTTTATAAATTAAAAAAAAATACAAATGACTGTAAATGACTTAAAAAACGTTAGACACCCCTAGAATTGCAGCCTGAGAATCAATCTAGGGGTTTTTAAGGATTCAAGAGTCGAAAAATCATCTTTACAGATTTTTAAAAAATACAAATGACGGTATAAATGCCTTAGAAATATTTGGCCACCCCTAGAATTCCCAAAATCAATTCTTCCGCTGTAAAAAATCGACCTGTCACAACCCCCTAATTCCCCCACCAAAAAATTTACCCCAAACCTCTGTGATGCCTCTGTCTCTGACATCAATAGTCATCACCAACAAAAGCCCCTGAATCGAAAGAGAGAGCATGATAAATCGATTCCTCGAGCATTGTTAACCCCCTCCCACTCCCTGAAGAAGCTTTTTACGTAATACCACAGGGCTGTCGGCGTCTAGGGGTGATTTCTCGGAGATTCTAGTTCTACTTCCCTCAACTTTTATTTTTCTGTTTGTCAGGGGGATAAAGCTCCATTCTTCCTTTAAAACCCTGCGACAATGAAGTTGAGGGCAAATAAAAAAGGATTATTGCTCTGTAAAAATCCCACAATTAGAAAAACCCTGGAAAATTCTCTCAATTTCCCAGTAAAAGGAGAGAATAAATTGTCAGATGTAAATAATCTCTGTTTAACACCCCCTGGGGAATCTTGAAAAAGAAAAATGAATAAATGAGTGGAATTATCCCTCCGCGGCAGATTTTTTCCCCTCGAATACCGATTTTTTTCCCTCGAATGCCAATTTTTTTTGCATTCAGTAATCGATACGCAAATAACGGGATGATACGTGGACACATGGTTTCATCGTGTATTTATTGCTGTCGCAGGTGGAAATTGACGTCCGTCGAGTGATCTAGGCTGACGAGAGCCCTTCGACTGTCCATCGATTTTTATTGACGGGCAATTAATGGATGATGAGTGATGGATTTACCTGTTGTCTTTTTTCTCCAGGTCCAGCTCAGTCTCCGCCGACGGTGATGCAATTTTTTCCTCTGTCAATTCGCCCCCCTCCTCGCCCTTCTTTCCCATCCAATTGGACACTTGATTCGTTAAGCCGGAGAACATTTTTAACGATTTGGAAATGCCCCGGAGTTATTTGATTTATTGTTTTTTTTTTTCAACGGGTTTGACACGGGGAGACACTGGAGGTGGAGATGAAGGATTTTTGACACTTGGAGGTACTGAGGAATTCGCGTTAACCTACCGAGATAGAGATTAGAAACATTGACGATGTGCTCTCGACACTCCAGGCTCACGTACTACGTACACATTGGGCCTTTGATTTTTCTACGTAGGCGTGCGCCGGTGGACGGCGCAATCAGTCGATGAGGGCAGCAGCGACGCGGCGGAAGGTTTTGGTACTAGCGCTGACCGATTAGTGATGGGTGGGGGGTGCGGGGATTGTAGAGAGTCGAGGGAGAGGCAGAGTGCGGATTTTGTGGACTGGAGAGAGATGGGGCGGTTTGTCAGGGTTTTATGGGCGAATTGCAGAAAAATGGGTGAGTGAATTTTTTTGGAAGTGAGTGGATTGAGGGGATGAATGATTGGGTTAGGGGATTAAGAATTTTTTGGAGGATTTTGAGAGGTTTGGAGAGGTGAGGAGCAGAGCTGAAGATTGAGGACGTAAGGCGCTGTGCTGGATTCTTTGTTTTGAGGAATTTTTTGGGGGGAATTGGGTGAGTGGATTTTTTTTGTTTTTTGTTGAGATTTTGGAGGGTTTTGTGGGATTGTTGGGGGTTTTTGTTGTTCTTTGTTAATTGAGGGCTTGATTAGGATTAAGAGGAAAAGGTGAATAGTCGATTGTGTAGGTTAGACGAGGATAGCGGCTGGATTGGATTTTTAAAGGCGTAATTTCGGAAAAATGGCTGAGTGAATTGTTTTCAAGTATTTGGGATGGGAGAACAAAGGATTGGGTTTTGGGATTGAGGGTGTTTTGGGGGATTTTGAGGGTTTTGGAGGGGTCAAGGGTAGATGGAAAAATTGAGGACGTATGAGACTGTACTAAATTGTTTGTTTTGAGGAATTTTTTGGGGGGAATTGGGTGAGTGTTTTTTTTTTCATTTTTTGTTGGGGTTTTGGATGTTTTTGAGTGAATGTCGTAGGGTTTTTGGTGTTCTTTGTTCATTGAGGGCTTGATTAGAATTGAGAGGAAAAGGTGAATAGTTGTTTGTGTAGGTTAGACGAGGATAGCGGCTGGATTGGATTTTTAATGGCGTAATTTTGGAAAAATGGCTGAGTGAATTGTTTTCAAGTGTTTGGGATGGGAGAACAATGGATTGGGTTTGGGGATTGGAGGTGTTTTGGTTGATTGTGAGGGGCCTGGAGGGGTCAGGGGTAGAGGTGAAGGTTGAGGACGTAAGGCGCTGTGTTGGATTCTTTGTTTTGAGGAATTTTTTGGGGGAAATTCAGTGAGTGGATTTTTTTTGTTTTTTGCTGAGATTTTGGAGGATTTTGGGGGATTATGGGGGGATTTTTGGTGTTCTTTGTTGATTGAGCACTTGATTAGAATTAAGAGGAAAAGATGAATAGTTGTTTGTGGAGGTTAGACGAGGATAGCGGCTGGATTGGATTTTTAATGGCGTAATTTCGGAAAAATGGCTGAGTGAATTGTTTTCAAGTGCTTGAGATGGGAGAACAAAGGATTAGGTCAGAGATTGAGAATGTTTTCGTGGATTTTGAAGGGTTTGGCGGTGTGAAGGGTAGATGGAAAGATTGAGGACATTTGAGACTGTACTAAATTGTTTGTTTTGAGGAATTTTTTGGAGGAAATTGGTTGAGTGGAATTTTTTAATTTTTTGTTCGACTTTTAGGCGTTTTCGAGGGAGTGTCATAGGGTTTTTGTTGTTCTTTGTTGATTGAGGGTTTGGTTAGAATTGAGGAGGAAAAAGGAATGGTTGATTGTGTGCGTTAGACGAGGATAGAGGCTAATGTGATGATTTTATGGGGGAATTGTGGGAAAATGGGTGAGTGAATTTTTTTGGAAGTGACAGGGATGAGGGGAAAAAGGATTAGGTTAGGGGATTAAGAATTTTTTGGGGGATTTTGAGGGTTTGGTGGTGTGAGGCGTAGACGAAAAGATTGATGACGTATGAGACTGTGGTAAATTGTTTGTTTTGAAGAATTTTTTGGGGGGAATTGGTTGAGTGGATTAAAATTTTTTTTTTTTCGGATTTTGGAGGTTTTCGGGCGATTGTCGTGGGATTTTTGTTGTTCTTTGTTGATTGAGGGGTTGAGTAGAATTGAGGGGTGAAGAGGAATGGGTAATTGTGTGGGTTAGACGAGGACAGATGCTACTATGGTTTTTTAATGGGGAGATTGTCAAAAATGAGTGAGTGAATTGTTTCAAAGTGGTGAATATCGAATGACAATGGTTTCGGTTTGGGGATTAGTGGTGATTTAGTGAAAAATTAGTGATGATTCTGGTGTTTTGAAGGTGTGAGGAGTAACCCTGGGGTTTCCAAGGTAAGAATAAGTGTTCAATTCTTAGTTCTGAGAAATTTTCCAAGAGAAATCGGTTGAGTGAATTAAAAAAAATTTTTTTCTTCATTTTTTCAGATTTCTGGGAGATCCTCAGCAGTGGAAAAATGCAGTACTATAGCTACAGAATGGTGAGTGAATTATCTATTTTTTCATGTACCATTCATCATATTTTTGAACTTTTCCTATCATCAGTCAATAATCTTAAGGGATAAATCAATTCGGCACCAAAAATTATTCAAAAATATTGATTTTATTTCTGATTCTGCATCCAGACGCCAATACAATCCATAATTACAATAGAACAAAATTGTAATAATTACAACTGAAACAGTTCAATAGACCAGTATCAACAATTAGTGAAAACGTTCGAAAGAGGTAGAACAATTCAAATCACGATCATGATACCAGTTCACAATCATAATTCTCCATTATCTTTTATCTCAATCTCTCGTCGACATGATTTGCATAACGAAGGATCGAACACTCGTTAATTTTCGCGTTGACTAATTTAATTTCACGACATTCTGAGCAACACGTGTTCTTTTGTTCCTCACGAGTGGAACTGAAAAAAAACGTTTGAGTGTTGCGTGATAACGATACAGTGATTACACGACTATATCTATGTCAGGTGAAATCGTTTCAATCTGTATCACAGCTAGCGTTTTAATAATTACAATTTCATTGGCCTAAGTTGGTGAATTCATGGTAACGATGTATTCCGAACGCTCGATGGAACATTCTCTTCGCAGAATCTTCCACCGGGCATAATGAGATTCCTAACAAACTCCAGCACCACCGGTTAAATTGGTCCAGCAGAGTATCTGCCGTCGTTCCATTATTTCGTATTAGGGGAGAGGAGGATAAAATCAGCCTCTTTTATTTTTTGTTTTTCATTTTGAAGGTATTTTCTGAGGCTGTGAAATGAGCCCTGATTCGTGCCAATTGCACCATTTGGTACGGAGATTTTGACGATTTAAGAAGGCCCATTTCACCTCACTCTCCCCTGCACTAAGAATTGCACGATCTTGTTGAATTGATAATCAGCATCAACTCAACACTGGTGTGTAATTAAAACCCCTTCGACAATAACAGTTTAAAATTTCGCTATCTAGGAATGTACGTTATTTCCACATTTTTATTTTTAATCAATGGCTGCTCAGGTCCGTTGCGGCTTCCTCCTTTGCCAACGCCTTTTGTTCGTTCTGGTATCTGAAACAGGGGAGAAAACAATGTAGGGAAACTGGGCAATTGTGGAATGAACCTGGAGAAATGAACAGATATGATGAAATAAAAATACTGCAGGGTATACTTTCACCGAAATTTCAAGCAATTTTGTCAGTCAAAATTCCTAATTTTAGGGGAAAATCCGTGGAAATCGTAAATTTCAGCTCAATTATTATATGAAATTTCATAGAAATGAGGAAAATTCAGGGAAATAAATTCTTGAATTTTTAATTAATTGGAGATTCAGCGTAATTTGGTAGTGAATATTCATATTGTTTAATTAAAATTGAAGAAAGTTGGGAGAATTATTGTCTTTCTGCCGCTCAAAAATTTGGAAAACTACTAAATTTTAGATGAACCTTAAAATTTCAGGATTTTTCTCCCATAAACCAAATTTAATTTCACTGTCCGGTGGCCTGGCGTAGTGGTTAAGGCCGTTGCCTCACAACGGATAGGTTCCAGGTTCGATTCCTGGCCGGGTAGAATGGTGAGATCTAACCATTTTTAAAAAGTCTTGATCAATCGCCATATAGTCTCATCAGACTCGAAGCGATATAAAATAAGCATAAAAAAAAAAAAAAAATTTAATTTCACTGTTAAAAATTTTTGACTGAAAATTCCAAATTTTGTGGAGAGATCAATGGAAACTGTAAATTTCAATTCCATTATTATTGTAAAATGAATAGAAATAATGAAAATTCAGGCAAATGAATTTTTGAATTTTTAATTAATTGAAGATTCAGCGTAATTTGGTACTGAATATTCATATTGTTTCCTGAAAAGTCAAGAAGGTTGAGGGAATTCTTGTCTTTCTGCTGCAAAAAAATTTGGAATACCACTAAATTTGAGATGAACCTTAAAATTTCTGGATCTTTCTCCCCTTAATCAGATTTAATTTTACTGCTTAAAATCGATGAAAACTGTAAATTCAATTCAATTAAATTCACCGATTTTATTGAAAAAAAAAAAAAAAAAATACGCCACACATCTTTTTGCATCAGCAACCAATGGAAGATCGTAAATTTAACACTTTTTTATTTCCTGTAAAACTAGAATAGCACTAATGTCATTTTTCTCATTCAATGACCCGGGTTTATTGATTAATATTGAGATTATTCCGTTCATACGCAATGTTCCGCATCTGGGCAGCCAAATACTCGTCCCTCACGAATGATTGCGGGGGATCGATGCCCTCATATGCCACATGTTTGTTATTGCAAAAGTCGTCGGGAAGTCAAGTGTAAAGGTCGTTTGTGTGATGCAACGATGGGGCAGGCAGGAAGTGGGACTGGTTGTTGGCTTTTGCAACGATATTTTTAGGCAGTCTGTCAATTTCAGTGTGAATTGTTCTGATTTAAAATTTTATAGAACTGTTCTCTGCAAATTAAATTTTCTTGATTTTTTTGGTTTTTTTAATAAATCTTTCTGAAACATTTAGAGACGATATTTTTTTAGACAATCTTTTACTTTTAACGTAAATTGTTCGGATTCAGATAAATTACAATTGCAAAAGATATGGGATAATTACGAAATATCCAAAGTTCAGCGATTTCTTACATTTCCATTCAAATTTCAGACAATTTTTTCATCTAAAAATTATAATTCAATTGCTAAAAATCAGTGAAAATTATGAATTTTAATCCAATTATTCAGTAAAAATTGGCAGAATGCAGAATGCAGAATATATATTTCTAAATATTTACTCAATTAAAAATTCCATCGTATTTCTTCTTGAAACGATTTCAATTTCCTTAAACTTCAACTAAAATTTGAAATTTCACAAAGTTTTTCCTCTTAAATTACATTCAAGGTTACTCCCTCAAATTTCTCATTTAAATTCCGTTTTTTGCTAATAACATCAAATTAAAAAATTCAACAAAGCAACAAGCAATCGACAGAACTCCAAATGCTCAATTGAAGCCCTGAAAAATCCTGAAATTACTCACTTGATGGCCCTAGCCACTTGATACAAAGCGGTAAAAGCGACGAACAAATTAACACTGAAGAGACTATAATTCTTAGGTGTAATAGCCAGTGAATATCTCGTCCATATCAGTCCGGTGGCCCCAAGGGCCGCCGATTGACTCAAAGATATTTTGCTAGCTGGTCGTGATAGATCCCCCAACCCCGCAATGACGAGTCCCTGCAACCGAACAGCGGTAAAAACCCATTACATAACATCGTTTATAAACCATTAACAATCTCGATAAAGCGTTTCGACTGACTACTGACCCATTTGAAAGCTGGCGCCCAGAAGAAAATGGTCTGCGGACCTGAAAGTACAGAGAAATCGATAAAACACGTGCGCCTCAGGTGGTTGTGCACCATTGATTTTCCACGATGAATTACGGAGGATAATAAACATTTCTGACATTTTAAAATGTCGTTGTGTCCATTGTCATTGGCGAAAGGTCAGGAATACTCGGGAATGAGTGAGGAGGAAAAATAAAAGATCTTCTGGAGCATGAACTTGGTATTTTGCTCTGCATAACTGTGCACCGCTGCCAGCCTTGACCTAATTGGCTCAGCTGGTACTGGGGGACAAACAGCTGTGCACAACACGATACAAAAGTGTGAGGATTGTCAAAATCTCGAGAATTGGTTGACGTTTTCAATCGGCCCCCATCGTCAATCGAATGCTCGTGATTGGGGAAATGATGAATGGGGAAATGGGATTGCTCACCTGCTGGATGATTCCACATGGGCTGGAGCTTCGCGGGCACCACTTTGCCGATGGCTTTCATCGAATTTCTGTACATCACTGACATTTTTTTTATCTGAGACTCACTACCCGGGGGTTTTGCAGCGTCACGTGGCTTTTCACGGGAATGAGGAAGCTAGAACGAGCCGCGACGTACCACTGAGCAATACCAAGTGACGTTCGTTCCGTTTCCTTCGGTGGGAAACTCGTGGCCCCCCACCACATCGATCACACGTTTATCTACTCGTTCGTCTTTGGCTACTGTTTACCAATAAGGTTTGGGGATTGGCGGCTGCGGTTGTGGGGGGCTTGGGGTAATGGGGATTGATGTTTTGCGGTAGTACACTGAGAAAAATCTAGGAAAATTAATGGAATAGCACTGTAAATTAGTCAATTTGCATATTTGGAGAAATTATTGTGGAACAGTAGACAAATTCTTTTGTAGCACCAGGAAATTGTTTTGCAGCACCAGATAAATCTTTGTATAGGACCAGAAAAAATTTTGCTGGACCAGAAAGACACATTTACTTTACTTTTTGATTTGAAATTCCTGTATCGATTGAGAACTGAGGAATTCTTATCCTCCTGCTGCTAAAAAATTTGAAATTTCATTGAATTTTTAGTGAATTTCAAAATTCCAGGATTTTTTAAAATAAGAGAGATGGAAAATTTAAACTCGGTAGAATTCTAACTGCTGAGATATTAAGAATTGTTATTGTTATTTTGGATAAATTTAAAAATTACTCAGTGTCTTCTATTTTAGTCAAAATATAAACACCCCTTCATTCAAAGTTTTTAAAAGATTATTTTGTTAAATAAATTTAACGAAGTTTTAGGAATTATCTAGTTTAATTTACATTTTTATTAGAAATTCAAGTTTCAATTGAAAATCGGAGAGAGTCGGGGAATTCTTGTCTTCCTATTTCAAATTCTAAGATTTTTTTTTCAAATAAGAGAGATGGAAAATTCAAACTCGCTAGAATTCTAACTGCTGCGTTGTTAAGAATTGTTATTTTGTATTGAAAAAATTACAGCATCGATTCCCACCTTTTTTTACTTTAAAAAAACTCGCCTCAGTGTCTTCTGTTTTTATCAAAATATGAACATCCCTTCACCCAAAGTTTTTAAAAGATTTTGTTAAATAAATTTCAGGAAGAGTTTTAATTTTTTTTCGAGAAACTATATTATTGCGATTCATGTAAAGTCTCAAGGTTGGGAAATGTGGAAGATGTTTACCATTACGTTTGCCAATGGCCTATAGTTCAATACCAGATGACTTCCTTCGTGCCAAATAATCTTACCTCGTTTTTTTTTAACCTGACGACACTATTTTCGGAACTGGTGCCAAGTGCACTGCGGCAACACTGACTTTGAAAGTGGTTTAAACTTCCGCGTTTGATTGAGGATTTTCATCAGGGGTGTTGTGATTATCAGACTGACAAACGAGTCCGTGATTTTATTGTGATAAGGTGATGACGATAAAGATAATTTTGCCGATAAACTCAGTAATTCAATTTCTTCTTATTGTCGATGGAATAAATGAGCGTTGAAAATGAATCTTCAAGACATTTTTTTGAAAAAAAAATTTATTCAGAATGTTTTTAACGATGAAATAAAATATACAGTCTGATAATTCAAAATATTATATTAACTTGATGATATACATTGATTAAAAAAAAACTTAATACAAAAGAAGATTCGATTGACATCAAAACTCTTTGAATCACATATATAATTTTTTTTATTACACTAGGCCCGATTGCATCGGATAGCACGTGTTAGTGGACAGATGAATAAAGTTAATGGAAAAGTCTAGTTTTTTTTAGGAAATTCTATTGAAACTCTACGTGAATTCTGTTGAAATTCTATTGAGACTTGTATCGAAAATTATATAATTTTGATTTAATGGAGCCAATAGATGTTTGTTTTTCTCCATAGCGTATTTTTCACTTGGATTTTGTTATGAGAAATGAAAAAATGCAGCAGAAAAACTTTGAAAAGTTCATGCTCAAGAGTATCAATTTAATCTTCAATAGAATTTCCTTTGCACCGCCGATTTGTGGCATCAGAGTATTATTTTGACGTGATTATTACATAAAAAACAATACAAAAGTTATTAAAATAATGGAATATTCTGTCTAGTCATTGAGCTGACACTTAATTTTTTCAATAGTTACCTAATACTGCATTGCATGCCATGGAAGAGTGTAAATGTGGTAAAAAAGTACGTTAAAATATGGTATATTTACGACAAAATGACCATAATCAACTGACAGATACTGAAGCATTGATTACTGATTATAAATGAATTTAAGTAGATTTAATTAATTTAACTTAATACAGTCATAAAATTAAATAGATTATATTACGAAAGAATATGATTCACAGATTAGTGTGAAGAAAAACCAAATCATTCATGGAAATTATTCCAAATGTACAATTGCATTATTGTAATTTCATTCCCTCTCCCTCCACTATTGCTTAATTTTATCATTATGGCTCGTTAGTCGTTAATGGCTCGAAGGTTGAATGAACTAATTCATTGGAATTCCAGTAATTACTGGTCGATGATTAAAAAATATCTGAGATCGGGAGACCATTGCTATTATCAGTACCAATAAGAGTAAAATAAATGCAGTAGTTTTCCCACAAATGCAACCATCACGACTTGTACAATAGCTACGCAACAATATGTGCAAAAAAAAAACAGGAAATGGACTCTTCGAAATTGTTGATTACTCTCCATTTTTGTTTTCATAATTATCTAAGGCACATATATTTGTACAGAATAATTGAGAAATAAGTAGCTATCGTCATTGAGAAGCTACGTACAAAATATACTAGTAGATTATCTTTAGCACATGATTATAAGTCCAAGTAATCTCTCAGAGTTTAATGGACCTATGAAAAATTTATCGAAATAAAATCAATAGAAAAACATGAAATGATATTTTGCATAAAACACGAGGTATACCTCTGATATCTCTTTTGTTCATTAATTTCGTGATTAAGAGGAATAAGAGTAATTCACAGTTTGATTTCAATAAATTTTACCAATATTTCCAGAAGTATTAGACATCTTATTCCTTTCAATCACGGAATTTGGGCTCAGAGAGCAATTAATTAAATTTACATACCTTCTCCAAACATTGTCATTCATCGAGAGGAAAAGGAGATCTCTGGAAGTGAAAATTTATTGCCACAAATTGTTATTTCAATGGATGGATTCTTCAGAATTTTTCCATTCCTAGAAATCTTTTCCTCTCTCAGTGTTGCAATGTCACAATAGAACTCTTTCTCTCAACAATACTCTACTCTCTTCACTCCCCTAAAGTCTAGATCATCGTAATCACAGTCCAAATAGCTTGTAAGTGTTGGTAGATCCATGAACATCGACAAGTAGAAATTTTTTAAAATCATTCGAGACACATACCTTTGGCTGACAGCTATGTGGCAACTGAACTAGCCCGAGTAAGCCAGGTTTATTATTATATTTAGCAACCTTAGAGGCCCAAAATTGACGTGTCTTCTCCTCATCACTCTCATTCCTCTCTCCAATTCCACTATTCTCCAGTCTCTTAGCCACTTCCGATATTGCTGCAGCTGATTGACTCGCTGATATTCTCATGCTACCACGAGGACTCATCCCAAATGTTGGAGTTGTTAAACTCTTTGGCACACCAGTGCGACTTCGTCTGTTCATCTTTTTCTCATCCTGAGTGAGGGCAATATTCCACCAGGCCATGTCGTCACAATTCACTGATAGGAGGATAGGTGCGCCGATGGCCTCTGGTGCCCAGTGAAATTGCAGCACTGGGTTACAGTGCAGAGACAGCTCTACATAAATTCTGTCCAATTCGACATCGTAAATCTGTAGAACATCAAGAAGACAAATCAATCCATTGTTCGATAATTTTTTTTATCCTATGAGTAATTGATCTTTACTTACACTTATCAAGCCGTCGGCCATTCCCACAGCCAAGAACTTGCCATCAGGTGAAAAACTACAACAAGTCAATCGGTTGGGGTAATTATTTGAAATGCGTTTCCTAATAACCATGCGAACCGTATCCCTAGTACGTTCTCTTTCAATATTATAAATCGTCATCTCTCCGGTAGTCTTGAGCAAAGTGAGCATGTTTTCTTGTGAATTGAGCACGCTAAAACAAACATTGGGACATTGGCTTCCTGGCAGTTCACAGATATTGTCCCAATTAGCGTCGAAAACCTTCCAAATGATGATTTTTCCGGTATCAGATACAGTCACAACGTATGTGTCCTCGATGGTATGAAGATTAATCACGTTTCCTGTGGCCACAGCTTCAGCCCAAACATTCGACTGAACAGCAATCTTAAGATTATCCCCGTTCTTCCAGACAGGTACATGTGACCCATTTACTTGTAGAAATTTGATGGGTCCTCTGTACCTGTTGAGACTGTGAATTGATTTAGCTTGATTGGTTTGGTAATTGAAGATTCTGATTTCATAGGCGAAAGCCTCGAGATGACCCTTCTTTTCCACGTACATAATTCGCTCTCCATCCTGACAGACACTGAGATCAATGATGTCTCCATCACTATCAGTTTCTGCGATTGCATCATGTCCCTTGAAGACTCTAATTTTTTTACCCATCACTTGAACCACAATATCTGGCTGCTCAAGTGGTTTCATGAGGGCATCAAACTTGGGAATTCTGACAGACTGAGGTAAATTGGACTCACATTGGAATGACCACTTGTAAGTCAGATGATTGAAACCTGCGATGATTGAGTGTGAGTCGTTGGCAATATAGTAACTGTCCAGGGAGATGGCTTTCCCCGAATACTCCGCCTTCGGATTGATATTATTATAATCCTCGTAGACCCTTATGAAGCCCTTAGAGTCAGCAATCACTATGTACTGATCCTGATGTGTCAATGTTGCAGCTGTAAACTCTGTGTCTGGATTCAATTCTGGATCAATGCGGATGTTGATCTGCGTTGAAGGATTCGATAATTGACCCTGATCTGTGCAATTCCACCGAACACATATTGTCTCCAAATTGGTCACGAGAAGCATTTGGATAGAGCAGGAAGGGTCAGTCTTGATTTCATTGAAATAAATGGCCTTCTTTCCTTTGAGACCCTTCCACACTTCACCCGTGTTCCTCCCCGGGCGGTATGTCGACAGATAATTATATTTATAATTATTGCCGGGAGAATAAACTACGATGACTCCTTCCTCAGCATCGACGAAGAACAACAGAGGTATGTTGTGGGCAAATGCTAGACGATCAGTTGCCCGTTCGTCCACTTGTCCTGTGGACAGGATTGTTCCGTTAATCTCCCAAACACGAAAGTAACCTTTTTTGCCGCAAGCAGCCAATCTCTTGTCATCCGGACTGAGAGCAATGTCTGTGATATAGAGATCGTTAAGACTGTAAGTTGTGCAGCTCTGATCTTCTGGGATTTTATGAATGTAACTGTATGAGATTTGCTTCTCGCGAGGTGTGTGCACATGACTGCCTTCGTCACTCGAGTTATCGTCATCGCTCTCAGCATCCAAGGAGAATCGTTTGACAACCCCTTGATCGTTCAATGCCACGAAGAAGTCTCCCCGCTCTGATACAATGACTTTGAGAATTTTTGATTTCTTCTCGTGGCCGTAAAACGGAAACTGTCGACGATTCTTCATGTCCCAGAGGATGACAACACCGTGATTACTACCGAGTAAAATATGATTTGGATTATTAGTGAAATTTACTGTAGTCAGTTCGATAGGGACCTCGTCCCCGTTGGGAGACTCCTCCCTTCGATACTGTTGCTCGTGAGACAAGTATAAGTGCATTGGTTGAAATTCAGCGAGCCTTTTAGCTGTTTCGTGAACATATCCTCGTATATCATAATTCATGCCAATTTGAACCAAGTTCAAGCAGTCTCGCCTGCGATGCTCGACTAGAATTTTCACCTGCGCCTTCACGAACTTCTCCACGTCGACTACTTTGGCCTCGCGCTCGAGAGTATCTTGGGTGATGTATTTTCGGTACTTCTTGAGATCAATCAGAAGATCATTAATTCCACTGTTACATATTTTAGCACAGATAAAATTGAAGTCCAAATAGAGAACTGGGAATTTTCCTGCCATTTCCGCTTGCTCCAGATGGTGTCCAATGTAGGAGAAACTGTAGTTGTCCTTTGGTAATTTCGAAAAGTCACCATTGCAGGACTTATCGTATTTATTGATGAAGTCTTTGTGCATGTCTAACAGCTGTTTTGGAGCTAACTTCTTCCGGAGATGATCGAGGAGTAGATCGTGAACTCCGTAGATGTATGTCTCGAGATGCTGGTTCCATTGTCTTCCCACCAGGGATTTGTTACAGAGATCCTTCATCCACTTGTCAGCATTGGGAATAGTCGTGTCCCACAGTATCTCGAGGGTTTTGGAACTGATGTTGACGTCTTCACTGAAAATCGCTAGATTCTTGTAACGTGTCTGGGCGGATTCTGGAAGACGATTGATGCACATGTCGAAAATTGCCTCTTGCATGTCGAAGAACTTACTGTCTTTCTTACGAAGGCAGTCCAAGTAATAGTTCCAAAATTCTTGCTTACTGTCACCGGTCATTGCTTCCCTGAAGTCGGAAAATTGAGCTGCGACGAGGTGGATCAGTATTGGAATACCGTTGCACGCGTGATGAATGTCTTTTGCTTGTTGAGGTAATTCGTTGATTTCCACGTTTAGAACTTGTGCGAATAAATCTAAACTCTCAAGCTCTGTAAAACCTTTATTCAAATCGACGACCTCTTTATGCCGCTTACCCAGCAGATCTATGTCCGTGGTTATCACTAATGTCTTGCAGTTGAAGTCAAATGTTTCGATGATTGCATTATCCCAAACATCGTCGAGAACGAGTAGAGCATTGCGATGGTGATCGGTGCTGAAGTAATTCTTCAAAAATTTTCCCAAATGGTGCTTACCGAAGCCAGTGTTGTTGTCATTGGCCAAAGCATAGGGATCATTTATTACCTGGTGGTAGAGTTTATTCAGTTGTTTCAGTATTTCATCCTCCAGGCAATCGGTTGGTTGGGAGGCCTCTCCCTTGAATCCAAATTTGATCCAGTATATTTCATTCTGAAAAGAAAATATCATGAATGATGCAAGTGTCGAAAATTTTCATGCTTGTGAATGATTGTCTACTAACATCGAATTTGTGCATCATCTCTTTATTCAGGACGCTGACAGCTAAATGAGATCTTCCAAATCCTTTCATCCCGTGAATGACTACATAACCCCCAGGCTTGACTTCGCTCAGTGCAGTTTGCAACTGATTCATCTGTGAAAAAGAACCGATAACAATTAGTCATTGACATTAATAATTAATTGTTTCACACAATGCAGTCATTTGTCATCCACTTACTTAATTGATCCGTTAGGTAGGCAAAGATAACATCATTAGTGATCAAAGATAGCTCAACTGATTACGAATAAGGTTCTAAAATTAGGTAATCCTTTGTTTGAGCTTGAGGCATGCTTATCTTATCTACAGAAATTCGATCGCTGATGCAAACGTTAAATCCGGAGTTTCATAGGTGATTTTTTGTTCTTTAGACTGAGAGACAATTTTGCTTTACATAAATATTATTTATTTGATCCAAGAGAAATGTCATTCATTTTAACTTGTTCTAAATCATGGATTATTTGGATTATAATTGCTCTGTAAGATATGCCGTATTTTTTAGGATGAATAATCACACTGGTGAAATGACCGGATTGCTTGGTAGAAGATAATCGAAAATTAGTCTCTTATGGGATCATCGAAAACAAATTTTTTCCACCAATTGATTCCGTTTATATTTTATTGAATTATTGTATACATCTTAAGTATCAGTATAACTAATGGGCTGTCAGGAAAAAATTAGAATTCCATGCACAGTTGACTAAGAATTTTCAGGAGAGATTGAATTCACTTCAGAGGGAAAAAACTCAATGATATTCCAATTTTTTGACCAGCAGGTAGAGGAGAATTCTTCAAACTGCTTGAACTTATAATCAAAATATGAATATGCAGTATCAAATTACGTGACAACTTTAATTAATTAAAAATTCCGGAATACATTTACCTGAATTTTTCTGATCTCTATCAATTTTCTTGTCTTCAAAATTCTATTAAATTTTAGTTCTACTGAAATTTCAAAGAATTTCGCAATTAAAATCCAAAATTTTACGATAAAAAATTGAAACTGGAAATTCCAGTTCAATTATTCAATGAAAATTGATAAAAATCGGAAGCATTCATACAAATATATTCTGAGACTTTCAATTCAATGAAAATTCAGCATAATTTGATGCCGAGCAGTCATAATATTATTTGAAAATTCAAATAAGTTGAAAAAATTGAATAAATAACCTGAACATCTAGATTAAATTTTCTTTGAAATTAAAAACTTGATCATAATCGATGAAATGTGCGATCATACCTTGTGCTGTCTGATAACTGTCAATGAAGAAATCGGTGGTAGTATTGGATTTCTCGCATCAGTCGAGTCAACAGCATCAGTACCAGTAGAAACAAGTGATTTGCTCATGGCCTTACTCAACCAGGGATAGTGGTGTTCCAATGCCTTTTGGAATGTCGAAAACGCCCCAGGGCCACGGCTGAAAAACAAAATGGGAAATGAACGATTCTCAAGGTTAACCCCATCCACCCACGACTAAACCCAAGTTCATTGATCCATCCATCACATTGCAAAAGAAATCGTAATTATTGATTCATACTTGGGAAGTATATCCAATAAACGTCTAGCCTTCTCGATCGCAGTTGTCCTGGACGATATCTCAACAATATCTTCAGGCTTCAGGATGTTATACTTGGTCAGGTGATCTATGACACCATTTGTAACGTCCAAATCTTGGACAATTGTCTCCCGCAAATTGATTAGAATATTCCGATGCACTTGCTCCATTCCGAAGTATCAGTTTTATCGGATGATCGTGAGGATCTCAACATCAGGGGTGATAATTCTGTGGATAAATCAGGTGGTGTTCAGCCCCCGAGTGACGTAAGATCATACCCTCTTACACCTGCTGCTCCATTGTCAAAATTCAATAGCAGATTCAATAGCAGACCTTCCGGCGCGAGACAAAGAGAACGACTTTGCAAAAAAATAAATTCTATGACTAATTCAGAAAATGATCGAGTGAGAAGGGCTAATCAGTGCGCTCTGACGTATTTTCACGGATTTGTGGTTGTACGAGGCCTGAAAGTGGACCTTAAGGTTTCCAAGTGGAGGACCAGTGCTGAAAATTTGGAATACTTACGACTGTGTCTAGTAGGGAGCTCTTGAAAAAAAAATCCTTTGTTTCTCGGGTTTTTTAAGCCAGCCTTGTCAGTCTCTCGGAAGTGATGGCCAAGACAGATCACAAAACAGGACACAAGTCACTACATTCAACTACAGCGTATACTACAGTGTCGGACGACTCCGAAGGGGATCCATGGTTGCTTTCCGCTGTTCAGGACCCCCCTCGCATATCCCCACCATTTCTCCAGCAGTGCGCAGTTGTCAGATTTCTGGCTCTCTCCATTGGTCGAGTGCTTGATGTGCTATAGGGGAGCAATGAATTGAACCAATGACTTTGGAGCTGTTATGGTATGCACTTTCACGGAAGGAAAAATGGGGTAAAATAAAAGGACGCCAGGTGATGGTGAGACTTTGAAAAGGCGGGAAAATCTTCGTTATGTGGATATTAGGGAGGTTATGTTGACGGTCTGCAGGAATAGACAGACGGAAGCGATTTATTATTTCTCGGAGATGGAAAAGTTTCTCTAAGGGAAAACCAAAATATAACAATTTTCACTGATCACTCTTACGGATTCATTCGACTCGTTATTAAATATTGTTTGCTATTATTTTCGTAAATGGTTGACGCAATGGGGCGGATAACTTGCGTTGGTATGTCTATGCCTTGATGTAGGTCACGGGGCAGACACCATTTTATTGAACGAAATTTATAGGACAATGTTATACAAGATGGTATTTATGCATCAGCATTCTAGATTCATTTATTTACGTGATTCTTGGGATTCGTAATTATTCATATTGTTAAATTAATACTGTTGGTCATTCACAGAGTCTATTCTGGTACTGTGAGTCTAATCAGTGGAAGTGTTCCTCACATCATCCGGTCATTTCAGCCGTCCATTTTAAATCGGAGTATGAATTTTTGAGTCTAACCCTATCACGTATATTACAAATAGTTTACGTTCTTATATTTTGATACTTTGTACACAATATCACCAAGCACACAGTTACTCAGACTGGAATGAGGTGTATAGCAGTTATGCTGCTCTTTCTCAACAAATACATAGTAATGATGAATGATAATATTGGGCTAATGAATGAAACATTCTCGTTCATCTTCTCTGCATCTTGGAAAATGTATTCCGTTTGAAAAAAAATGTGCGATGGCCGGGAATCGAACCCGGATCAACTGCTTGGAAGGCAACTATGCTGACCATTACACCACCATCGCACTTATAGTTATAGCCGTCCTGAGAAGCACTCAATACCGACATGGTGAAAAATATATTTTTTTCCTCGGAATGTTTCAGTCTTGAATCGTAATTCTTTTGAATGGCGTGCAGTAATAGTCTTTTTTACGACTTATTGGGGCGAAAACTTACAACAAATTCTCTTAGTATCTCTTCTGATAACTTGAGGAATGTCAGTCAGCTTCTGGGGAGGGTTCACAGGTGGCGCTAGACTGCAGTTTATGAGCAATTCTCGTCGTTGAAAATTTCAGCAAGAATTTTTGCATATAATTTTTCTCATTTAAACAAATCAATTTAGTTCAACAATTAATGAATACATAAAATTAATTAAGCAAAATGTCACAATCTGTTGTTTTCATAAAATGTTTAACCTTCAATAGCAAAATTCCTTCAAATTTCGACGAATTCCTGAATCAGGAAATTTTAGTTCTACATTTTTTTTAATTGACATACTTGATTTTTCAATCAATTGAAAATTCAAGAATACATTCGCCAGAATTATTTTGATTTTCATTCATTTTAATGCAATAATTTAATCTAAACTTACAATTTCCATAAAATGCTGAATTTTAAATTTTACAATCCTGTGCAATTTCCTGTGCAAAAATTCTCCGAAATCTCCCGGAAATATCAGCCAAAAATTTCCAACAATGCTCACCTGTTGTTGCAGTTCCCTGAATTTCCGAAATTTCAAATTTCCTCCCACGCTTAGTTGAGGTTCCAATGAAAATCGGATGAAGTACAAGTCAATGGAAACTATAATGCGACTCCTGGCCGTATCCAACCACTCAAACCAGTTGATTACAATGCAACGGTTCCGCCATTGTTTCCCACTGTTAAGCTCCTTATCCGTCCAATCACTAGTCCGAAAATCCCGCAAGATTGAAAAACTTGCTCCATTATTTGAAAATACTGGTCATACTCGTCGGTGATAGATTTCCTGGATCGATTATACATAAACTGTATGGACACTCGGTCATCGTTATGTAGACGACCAGTCAACAGTATTCACGATGCAAATTCGATTACGTTAGAAATAGCAATTGGGCTGAGCCGTTCGGGGCATTAGTCGGTGAGGCTTCGGCTCCTCCATCAATTAATTTGTTCTCGATGGAGGTTTAACATATTACTGAATTCAAACCGTAGGAAGGATTTATGCGGCAAGGAGTACAGTAGTAATACTAGTGGGAGTAAGTCGGGTATATGCACCACTGGCATTTCGATAATTCCAGCAATGCTGATGGCGCGCAAAGCGTCAGTATTAAAGAGACGACGGCCAAAATGCCAGTGGTCGAAATGCGGTTTTCGCGCATGGTCTACATAACTTATAAGTTCCACGGGGGGCATATGTCGGTCGGACGCGGGAAACATGGGGCTGTATTTCAGGACGTAACGATTACAATTTTGGATTACATGTCAAAATGGCACACGTAAATTTTAACACAAACAAATTCAACACACATATTCAACACAATTACAGCGCAATTATCAACACAGCCTTCGAAATTAATAAAGTTTCACTTTTGGCATGAAACTTCATTGAATGAAAAATATTTAAAAAATTGGAGCAACAATACAGTGAATTGCATCAATAAATGAGAACATATAAATCAGTAAATTGACAAATTCAATAAATTGATAGGGGAGGGTCGGAGAAAATGAGACGTATTTAGATCTTTTCCAATTGTCAATATCATCGCGTGTAAATGAAGATATTGACAATTAGAGAAAATCACGAAACGTCCCATTTTGGCTCTCCCCTATGAAATTACAATTAAAGAACACTTCACAGTTTCTTTGAAATCAACTTTCAATACTCATAATCCCAAAAAATATTGTCATCAGGAATGAATATGAATCAAAGTATTTATTTTATGTAAGCGAGGAACAAAAAAAGACTTTGTTTTATTTGTTCCTTCTGAGGAATCGTTAGTTCGTCTTAAAAACACTGCTACCATCTTGAATAATTAAAAGTAACGCCGTGGCTATTCGCACTTCCGCACGCAGCGTGTCATAAGCGTGTGGCATTGATAAAAATCAGTAAAATTCAGATAAATATATTCTTGAAGTTTCAATGAATCAAAAATTTGATACTAAATCAGTAGTGAAGTGGTCAAACGGTTCAAGTCAATTCCATTTTAACGCCAGTTTTCGATGAATATCTCAAATTCTAGCAGAGTTAGCGAAATTTTCCTAAAAATCTTTTTTGTAAAGAAAAGTGAAGACTATCGAAAAACGATTTTACAAAAATTTCGCTATTTTTCTCAAATTCCGAGTTATTCAAAAACTCAACTGGGAGCTAAGTCGACTTAAACCGATTGACCACTTCACTACTGAAATATGCGGAAATTCACTGCATTTTCTGTGAAATTTCACATTTAATCATTTTTCTTCTTAGAACAGATTCAATTTTGATCTCTCGAACATTAATACCATCCTCTCCATGAAATTTAAATTCATTTCCAACAGTTCACTAACATATTATTGTCCATAAAATCTCGACTCTCAAGCTTTTAATTACACAGAAGTCCTCATTAGAGAAATGCCACAAGCCGAGGTGAGATTTACATCCTCATTTGAACCCTCCTTATCTGGACGGCTTATTAGACTATTGCGTGCAGTAATGCACTACAATGTTTCCCTATTTTTCCATCAGCCTCTGCACCCAGACACATTCCTCACAAATAGTGAATAGTTGGATATCGTTAATCGCACACATTATTGCTCGCAATACGACTCCTTCCATACCTCGTACAACCTAATTACAAAAGGTGCAATGAGCTTCAGTGAAATTCACTCCAACGACGCTCATACATTTTCCCGATATTTATTTACCATTCATGGAAGTCGTATGTTCGGCTGCAACACACGCTCTTCAGAATTGCACATCGACGGACGTCGCGTGCTACCACCTAGTAAATTCACGTTTATCTTTCCACTAGAATTTACGATACAGCTGACAATGCTGCGTTCTTCTTCTCTCTTATCCTGAACATAATATTTTCTTCTTTCTTTTTTTATAGTCTCAGGTTTGACACATGGAGGAGAAAGTAAAGGAAAAATTAGTGAAATATTTGAGTAATTGTGGAGTGAAATTCTATGTTCGGCTAAAATTTCAGTGAATTTCGTTATTGAAAACTATGAATTTCATGGCAAAAACTTGCAGAACTGTAATTTTCAGTTCCATTATTCCCTGAAAATGAGTAGATTTTTAATTAATCTAAAATTCATAATTTTAAATTCGTAATTCGGCACTGAATATTTATGATTAGATCGAAAATTTGAATAGATTGTGGAATTCTTATCTCAGTGCTGTTCAAAAATTTCGGATTTCATTTAATTTTCAAGTTTAGATCTACAAACTTTACTAAATAATAAAATCATTGTAAAATGTCCGGAAACTTGGGGTCAATTGGGGCTCAAATGAACGCTCTGATGTTCGGCTACAAAAGTGGAAAACCATTTCACTGGCGTCAAATTGTCAAAAAAGATATCCTTAAACAGTTAAAAATACCATGATTTTGTTTAAATCTTGGCACAAGTAGAATGCGAAGCATGGTAATGAACGACACGTCTGATCCTGGATGGGACAAAGGTTTCATATGGATCAATAGTCCATCATCCATGATACGAAAGATCCACTGTGCGGCTTAGAATCGAACTAATCCGGGGGTGGAACAGGCCTGAAGGTGTCCATTGGATAGGCCTCGAGAATTCGATAGATCCTACCACCACTGGACACTTCAAACGCTCCTATTGACGAACGCAGCCTCTCCCCCTCCACTCCCTTCCCCTACCGGCCGAGAATGGCAATCACGCTGATAGGATAGTAATACAATTATCACCTGAACAAGAGGATTCTCTCGATAGTGTCGCCATATCTATACAATTAGCGGTGGA